AACACACAGAAGCATTTAAAAAAACATTATAATTATTTATTAAAAATATTAAAATAATATATTATTATTACATATATTTTTTATGTTATTGTAAATCATGGTTGTAACTTGACTTGTCAGGTTCTACTTTATACAGGGCCTACTTTACACATCTGTCTACAAACAATTATTTTTTGTTTATTTTTTTCCCCATAAGACAAGTTGCCATGTACTGTTCTATGACAAAATTACATTTAAGAGGTACCCCGGGGACCTTTAGCCACATTATACCTCATCATAAAGAACTGTATGTGCTAGGAGCTACATATTTAGAAAATGTGAAGATAAAAAGAAAAACTATTTAAAGCTACAAAACATGAAAGGTCAGAGGTGAAAAGCTTTAACTGCTGTCAAGGCCACAGGACGGTTTAAAAAAATAGTTATTTTACACAAACATTTAAAAATAATAAAATAAAATTAGCTTTTGTTTGTTTGGTACCAAAAGCGATGTGGTATTCATAATCAAAAGTGAACTAAGTGAAGAAGGGTTAATGCAATCACACCCTGTCACCTGAACACAGGCTCGCCTTACCTTCAGCCCCCGTATCTCGTTGAGATGCTGCTGAAGCCTGCGGTTCACCTCTCGGATGAGATTGCTGTGGTCCACTATGACGCTCATCTTCTCAGCTTCGGCTCTGCGGAGCCGGCGAACCAGCTCCTCTTTGCTCCATTTCAGAAGCTCCTCATCCGTAAGTTTGGAAAGGTCCTCTGAGGGACCTTCTGCGCTCTTGGATATGCTCGACTGCAGATGAGCCTGGGTGGGCTTTTCCATTCTTCCGAGCAACTTAATATTGAAGTGCTAGGCTATAAAACAAATTGCCGACAAGCCTGTCGACAAATCCTTCGTTCGCACTTTCCTGCAAATTCCCTCTTGTTAGAATCGAATTTTTGAGACTACAATTTTAACGATAACTGTTCTGTCCATGCTGTCCCCTCTGAAGACAGGGATGCAGCCCTAGAGTACCGGCGAATACTTCTCCTCCTTATGCACTTGCTGTACGGGTGGACCCTCTGTCTCTACGGCAGAGACTCGGTGTGTTTCCATCTGTCCGTGAGCATCCTGTCCAGCTCAGTGTGGTGCTGAACCCGCGCATGAAGAAGGCGCACGGCTGGTCGCTTCTGTGCGCAGGGTGCGTGACAGCAGCCTCTCAAATTGCTCGACTGGCTGAGTTGTGATATTTCTCTCTCCCTCTCGTTCGCTCTCGGTTCCGCCACACGCCCCCTGATCTTGGAGACAGCTAACTTTTTGTTATTGGGCGCCACCTGGTGGTGTTAAATCAAGCCTACATCAACCTGACCATTTTATGGTTTTTCTCAGTCACTTTGGTACATTTCTTGCAACAATCTTAATATTTGCAAACAATAATGTGCATTTCTCAAAACAATTCGTACAAACAGGACCACACAATGGATTACTTGCAAGTAACTTGCTCAAAATCCTTAGTTCATCTCTCAAAAGTAATTATTTATGCCTGTGAAGATTTCAGTGCCATCAGAATGACATGTCCTTGTGTCGTTGATCTATGGCTACGGTTTTGATGACATAGACTGAAAATGCACAAATGCACTTATCCTGTATGATATGTCAATAGTACAAATGTACACATTACTGTATGTGTGGGGGATATATATA